GGGGGGGGGGGGGGGGGGGGGGCTTGCTTCAGTCTAAGAAGCCTTGGTGAGAATGAGGATGAATAGAATGACCATAATCCCCGAGAAGGGTAAAAAGTGAGGTGTTACTCTCTAAAGTAGTCAGTTTCTGAAACACAAGCTTAGCCTAGAATAAGATATTCAACCAGGCAGTGAGTGAGAGTTAAATTATACAGAAAACAAAACAAAGACTTTCGAAACAGGTATAGTTATCAGGCGAAACCTGTTGCTGAAATATGTTAATCTTCAAGCTTGTTGATAGAAGAAGTAATATCAACAGAGAGACGTTTTGCTATTGAAGCCAACATCTTCAATAAGATTTCAATTAAACATGTACTCGGTGAGCTATCTCTTAGATAAGAGAGGACCGGATACATAGAGGCAGAAAATCATGCTATAAAGAATTTTGTATCATCATACCTGATTAAAAAAAGTTCCATTCGATGGAGAAGGTGATATCCCTGAAGAGAAAGAGTCGCTTCTGAGAAAGAGAATCCACTGGTTCTTGCCAGGAAACATGAAAAGTGCATTGTATGATATGGTTCCTAGAAAGCTAAACTCGATGGTTCAAGTAAACAGAAGTTTTGTGTTGGGTGTTTCTTATAATTGCTTCGTAAGAAAAGTCTTCAGTATTTGAAGAAATAGAGGTAAGCATCAAGTGTCTAGTTGACTGCTTACCACATTTCAAAGCTTCTGCATTAGAGTGTCTACTAATCTGACCAGGAAGGAATAGGCCAAAATTATGTATAGCTATCAAAAGAAAATAGCTTGGAAATTCTTATAGAATTAGAAGACAAAGTCAACACCTTGCTTGAAAAAAAATGTTCTCGAGCTATGTAAGTCATGAAATGTCTCTCGACCTAAATTTCCTTTTTCCAGAAGGAAAAAAAAAACTAATTCTGACTTTTGAAAATAACATAACTTTTGTACAAACCTCAATTATGGTGATGAACAGTAATACACCACATCTGATATGAGCTTCAATTTAATTGAGGAAATATTCTCCTCATTTAGTCAACTGACCGTTTTTACCTTTGTATATCATTGAGAGACAAACGCTGACTTTTCTTTCACTCATCCCTTAATGTAACTTTAATTTCTGACTGTGTTAAACCTGCAAAGAAATAGAGTGTTAGTGTTCACACTTGAGATACAATTCTTGAGTGGTGTTAGCGATTGGGCATAGAGCCGTCGTATAGCCACATATTGCAAGAGAGACAGAAGGCATACTGGGAGAAATAAGGGAGACAAGGTTGAGAAGCCATTACTTTACCCAAAGAAAAAAAAATCAATTGCCTACGTTCTCAGGTCTACTCCACAGTACTGTGAACCTAATGAGAATATTAAAAATTTAGAAGCCATTAAAATACGATTGTAGACTGGGATCTGGGAAAATTTAAACCTGAATAAACGCTACAGTTTAGCTCTTGTTCCTTTTTGATGGACTGAAAGCACAAACCCAAGTCGAGTCGCAGTCAATCGACGAATCCAAATCTGCAAAAAAAAAAAAGAAGCTTAATAAAGGAATATTACAAAATCTTCTCTTCTTTCTCGCTTCAGGCCATATCCTTGAACAATATTATGATAATCAAATGCAATTATTTTAGACAGAATTATAGTGACATAACTACAGCTAATGTTGAAACCTTTCATATATAGTGTCATATAAACACAAACGATTGAAAGGAAATAATCTCACATGGTACTCAAGTTGGTTCAGGATCTCATTCTCACCAACTTCATCAGTAACATATTCTCGGCGTTTCCTTCAGCCTCGACTGCCTTTTGTTTCACATACGCTTCCTCTGTCAGCTGAACAAACAAAGTATTAGAGAAATCCATTAATCAACAAAAAAAATCCAAAACCCTTCAAGAAAAACGCAGTAAGATGTGAAGCCATAGATTTATGAAGAAAGACATGTAAGAAGTTTACTGACTTTCTATTCCTAATAGGAGAAATGATCTTCTTCCTGTAATGAGATTTCAAGGTGGAAGTCATTAGATTTAATGACCACATGTTCATCGAAACCCTAAAATAAAATAAAAATTGTGAGTAGAAACTAAAAAGGAAATAGAGAGTCTGTAACTGGGTGAGGAGATGATTTTTTTCAATTGAGATGTTGATTGGAAAATTTAGGGGAAGATTGATTGCAAAGGAAGATGGGTAATGGAGATAAACCGGTGAAGATAAGGGAAAGAGACGGGAAGTTCAACTCTACGCTTCAGCCGAGCTAAGGATTTGGGTAATGAGCTTGAACTTGGCCAATGCAGTAGTGACATGGCCAATGCTTCAAACAAAGACCCCAATATTCTCTACATTCGATAGCAAGCAGTAGTGACATGGCGAAATTTAACTTTTTGCATTGGTTGATTTTTTTCATCCTACGTGGACATCTTAGGTGTTGAGGATATCTTCCTTTTATTTATAGTAGATAATTTTTAAACTTTGAGATTTTATGCTATATTTTCTGAAAAAGATTTAAGCATGGAAGAACATTAGCATTCACGTCTATGCAAATGCATATGATTTTTCTATTCATATTTGACGTTCAGGATTAACAAATGATCTTTGCTTAAAACATATTCACAAGCAAGGAGAAGAGCTATTCACTCGACAAGCCTGCTAGCAAGGGATCAAAAGCTTTGAGGCCCTATTCTTCAAGGCGGCACATCTTGAAAGTTATTTGGGCTACTTGAATAGGCGAGAGTCAAGAGAGAGATAACCGATCGTGATAGTGCGTGACACGCTCTTTCCAACTCTTATAAATGCTTGCTTGCTAGGCTTGAATAATGCAAGAGTAAGAGAGCAACCCGACGAAACTGAAGTCAGCCAACTAAGAATACCTGACCAAGAGCAAAGAGCATTTTGGTCTTTGGATGGACCGTTTGAAAGTGACCCCATGAGTCTTATTGTTGGAGTCAAAATCGGTACGACGGAATCAATAGCCAAAATTCCCCGCAAGAATACGAAAGGAATAGTTTTATAAAACCCAAGAAGTTTTTTTATACAACTCGAAGCCGTTTTATAAAACCCAAAGATCGTTTTATAAAACTCGAGAAGCCGTTTTATAAAACTCGAAGATCATTTTATAAAACTCGAAGATCGTTTTATAAAACTCGAGAAGCCGTTTTATAAAACTCGAAGATCGTTTTATAAAACTAAAAGATCGTTTTATAAAACTCGAGAAGCCGTTTTATAAAACTCGAATATTGTTTTATAAAACTTGAGAAGCCGTTTTATAAAACTCGAAGATCGTTTTATAAAATTTGAAGGTCGTTTTATAAAACTCGAAGTCATTTTATGAAACCCAAAGATCGTTTTATAAAACTCGAGAAGATCGTTTTATAAACTCAAAGATCGTTTTATAAAACTCGAGAAGCCATTTTATAAAACTCAAAGATCGTTTTATAAAACTCGAGAAGATCGTTTTATAAAACTCGAAGATCGTTTTATAAAACTCGAGAAGCCGTTTTATAAAACTCAAAGATCGTTTTATAAAACTCGAGAAGCCGTTTTTATAAAACTCAAAGATCGTTTTGTAAAAATCGAGAAGCCGTTTTATAAAACTCGAAGATCATTTTATAAAACTCGAAGATCATTTTATAAAACTCGAGAAGCCGTTTTTATAAAACTCGAAGATCGTTTTATAAAACTCGAGAAGCCGTTTTATAAAACTCGAAGATCATTTTATAAAACTCGAGAAATCGTTTTACAAAACCGCAAAAAACCGAAACCGCCACGAAACGCGAACTAGAGGCTCCCCGACTAGTTCGCCTGCTGGCGAACTAGAAGCTTCCAACTAGTTCGCCTTCTGGTGAACTAAGCCATGCTGGCTTAGTTCGCCAGCAGGCGAACTAGTCGGGGACCGTCTCGGCTTAGTTCGCCAGCAGGCGAACTAGAGATCTCCCGGATCTCCCGCAGGCCCGATTCGAACCTTACGTCCTTCGACACGGTCACATTCTGAACCACGGCCGAAATGTCTCTCGTTTCGTCTCGATAAGATTTATCATTCGAATTCTACGATAAAAACCGTAAGACTCCGCTTTCTCGAAAAGAACTCAAAGAAATCGTATAAAACGGTAACGGTTAAGCAAGACACCGAACATCGCCTAAACTATACGATTTATCCGAGATTTTTCATTAAAATCATAAAAAACGCGTTTTTAATAAAAAACGACGAGAAAATCGTAAAAACGGCATCGGATCAGGAAACGGTCTCGTATAAAGTAGTAAAGCGGTTTTATCGTAAAACGGCCAGAAAGGTCCTAAAACACGATAAAAACCCATCTCGCGATATTAACGAAATCAAACCCGAAGATACGATAACGTTTTGGTGGTTTACTCGCAGACAGAAGACAAAAGGCAAGTTTGAAGATAAATAGAAGATTTCCGCAGAAGAAAAGAAAGGATCGACAGTAATGGAAACTTCCCGATATATTCGGTTTCGGGTGAAATGGAAAGACTAAAACCGCCTAAGAAGGAGTATATAAGCAGGAGGCATAGGGTAGAAGCTGGGACACGATTTTCAGAGCTCTCACCACCAAAAATTAGCATTTAGGAATATTTCCAGTTTTTGTTAGCGAGCTGCATCTCAACTAGAGTTTTTCGTTCTTAGAATTTTCGGCTACTCTTTTTGTACCAGTTCTTACGCAGATTCGGAATAAGAACCTCTTTGCTCTCAATTTCGTTTATTCTCTTTTAAATTCTAAGTTTATCGTTTTCTTAATCTTCGTTGTGCGGTTCTGCAAATAGCTGGTTCCTCTGGAAACTTAGGGTTTTCCCGAAGTTTCCTTATTTACGATTTATTGACAGTAGGTGGATTTTGGTTCCCACAGTTTGGCGCTAGAAGGAGGGGGGGGGGTCGGATCTATCTTACACCGA